GTGCCCGGCTTCACTGATTTCTTGCTGCGTCACTTGGGCGTCGCCGCTGAACACGCTGGGCTTCCAGATCCAGATTGAGCCGTCCTTCGCGCTGGTGAGGAACTAAACAAAGGTCTCTTTTCACGCAGAAAATGACTAACCCGGTCTCCGCTGGGCTCCACTGCTATGTGTCGATGCGGGCTTCACGATGCCGGCGCCGTGAGACGCAGATTCTTGACAGCGGGGCGGTCATCGCTGAAAATGAAATATAGAGAAATTCTAAGTCAATAGAGCACGAATTGGAGAACATGGAATGTCACGTGAGAATGGACAAATGGAGAAAAGGAAAAAGAAGCTTTGCGGCCAACATGCCAAAAACCGTCCTTATGCTCATTTTAGCCTTTCTAAACCCCAAAATGTCAAGAAATTGGCAAAATTATTAAACGAATCAGTCGTAAAGATAAAAATGAGCCGACTTGGAGACAAATTTCGAACCCCCTAACCCAAAATATGTCATCAAATTTGCAGAGGCGACGTGGAAAAGTTTTTGCAAGTTTCAACCTCTTGCAGCCGACTAAATTAAATGATCTTCTTCAAACATAGCAAAATGGGCAATAAACCGAATTCCTTTTTTGTTCTTTAGAAACCAGCTCGATTTTTGCAAAATTGGCGAGTTACAAGCTTCCTCGAGGGCTTTGGAAGCTCAACACGAGATTACAAATTGTAAAAGCCGTTTTCCAACACAACCAATCAAGTTTCGACATAAACTTTGAAGAATTGGTCCCAAAGTCCGAAAAAGGCCAATGGAAATCAGACGCGTCGATTTCCCGCGCTTTCACTGCCCGTCGTAATTCCTCCCGACCGCGGCCTAGGAAATACGTCAGGTTGGGCGCGCTGATCCCTGACATGGTGTAAAAAGAGAATAAAAAGCTAACAGTAGTGCACAGCACCTTACGTCTGAATTACATCGCCTGATTCACCGGGTTGAGGGGTTCACTACATCGGGAACCGGTGTTTTTTTTGCGTTTATAGCTGGTTTTTGAAATCGGTTGGTTTTCCAGTAGTTTGAGGGGGTAAAATTTTATCCTTTTCAGCCGGCTAGAACCGACAGTACGTATGCTTGGGCCGAGCGAGCTCATGAAAAACCAATAGCCAATGCGTGATCAACTTCAAAAACTGAATCGGATCGTTTAGATAGCGGACCGGAACCAAGCTTAAGAAATCACTTATTTTCCTATATCGAATCGTTTCCTATTTTCAAGCTGTTCGCCTTTGACTTCGACATTTCTGCTTCTCCTTTGCAAACTTACCATAAGAGTCCATCGCGACGAGATTTCCGCCATTCGTAAAGCCCAGCCAGGCCAGCTTGCCGCCGATTTTGCCAACAGCGACGTCGACCGTACGTGCAGCTCGACTCTCCGTGCACCAGCTTCGAGGTGTCGCCGTGTAGATGGTAACTTGGTACTAGAAATTTTTAGATTGACAAAAATTCACCAAAAACACACCTGAAAACTGGCAGTTGGCTCGTCGTCATCGTCATTGTCGAACCACTGGGGGCCGCCCGTGAAGGAGGCGATGGCCAACGAGTTTCCGTAGGCACACGCCGACGCCATGGAGCCTGAATTCCCGGTTTTCAGGTGTTAAAAAGGCGAGCTACCTGGATGAGATCAAATCTGACGCTGCGTGCCGCCCAGCGAGAAGGCGCGAATGTTGTGCTGGGTGGTGAGGACGAAGATGAGCTGCGACGTGCCCAGGACGTCAATCTAAAAAATGAGAAAATTAAGATGGGATTAGAAAAACTTACAGCTTCCTCGCCGAACGGCAATCGCACCGTCCACGTGATCTTTTCCCGAACCCAAGTGCCGACGCGATGCACGTAGATTTCACTAAAAACGCGAAAATGCAATTCCAAATTTTAGATTACCTTTGAGCCTCTTTGCGCGCCTTGCAAGCCAGCACGATGGCTTCCGGCGAAAGGTCGGCCATCGTGTACCGCATGTCCTCGTTGGAGGCGACTATCTCGGTGGAGATGATGGCCGAATCGTGGCAGGCAACCTGAAAGAATTTTGATAAATCGTGAAACGTGAATTTGCGAAAGTTAATGATTAAGAATAAGCTATATGATCCAAACGTGTAAATTGCAAGCTAAAGGATAAAAAGAAGAAGAAAACTGCAAGCCGAAATTATGAGCAATAATTGGAGATCCCCAGGATGGCTTAGACTTCGGGTACCTAACAGCAAATGTTTTTAGCCAGGAGGGATATTAGAGATATTTCGATCCTGACCAAACACTTTCATGTGAAACTAGAGGTTTTCAAAATATGCAAAAGACAGTAGGCCTAGCAACGATTTTGTACTAACATTGCACCGTTCGGAGAGCGGCCGAACCCGAATGAAAACGCCTACGTCTCAGCGCTAACGTAGTCAAATAAATTCACAGAAAATGCCTGGTGAACCTCAACGCATAAACCCTTTATTCTCGCAATATGCTCAAAAAGTCACAGAATATAATGAATCACATTTACTTGAAATGGTACAGAAACTTATTTTCTCCGATTGCACACCGTGATGAAGTCGTCGCTCAGCTCGCCTCGGCCTTGGCTTTCCATTCCTGAAAAGAAAACAAAGTTATGTTATGATCACGCTAGCTAGCGGTAAAGTCGGTACTGGACTCTTAGCGGGGGGACGAGGTTTAGCCGGCGGAAAACTGATTTTTGATCGCCTTGATAATACAAAACGGATTTTTATGGTGTTTTGAGTAATTCTTGATTGCTAGCAAGTTTTAAAAAAGCTTTTCAAGCAAGTTCGAAAACACGACAATTTTGACGTTTTTTTTTGTCCATTTTTCATACATTTTTGGCCAAAAACTCCAAAAGCCACGAAAATTCTTGAAATTTACACTTGCTTTCTATATAAAAAAAACTTAGTAAAATGCTATAAAATAGTTTGTTTTTCGTAATGCGGCTTTATCAAAATGGCCTTCCTAGTTTAAATTTTAGTTTATTAGCAAATATTTTCTTCCCCCTGATAACAGTCCGGTGCCGAGAAATGTATACTGCAAGAAGCCCGCACCTTTTTCTGGGCAGCCGGCAACATCCGGAACTTCTGCTGGCAGTACTCGGGGAAGCGGACCTCGTCGCCGGTGAACTCTTCGCGGCACGTCTCCTCGTTTTCCGTCAGCCACAGTCCGAAGGCGCCACTGAAAAAAAGCCATAAAATTATCATCAAAACTTGTTTATTCTTGTAGTAAAATTCCGGTCAGCTGAATAAGCTCAAAAAGCCGCCTACCACTTATCCTCGCGATTTTCCTTGCTGGTCACCGAAAACACGGACGAGAGCCGCGGCTGCTTGGCCTTCGGCATTGCGGTAGAAGCCGGAAAAATAGACTTTACTAGCGACACAAATCGAAAACATACCTGAGTATCCCTGACGCGCTTGCGGTCGACCGGCGAGTCGAGCTGCTCGAAGACCGAGGAATTGTCCAACGATTTGATGTCAACATTCTAAAAAAAACCATTAACAATATGAAATAAACTTTACAAAATTGGGTTCTTTCGCATTATCGGTGGGACCAACCAGGAACCAGGTGGTACTTTCTTAATCGCAAAACTTTATAATTTTTGACGAAAAAACCAAAAAGATGTCGATTCTTCGACCAAAATTCGAATTGAATATTTTAGCTGGGCTTCTCTGATGGTTTTCTCTTAAAATATAGCTAAATTTTGCTAAAAACACCATTAAAACACTTAATATTCCCTAATGAGGCATTTTTCGACTAATCCAAAAAAAATTCGCGCGCCACAAAGGCGAAAGAACCCATAATTTATCAAAAAACATCATAAAAATTCACCTTTTGGAAAGGATTGGCGCGGCCGCTAATGTCGAGCCCAAACTTGGGTCCCTCAACGAGCGCCTGGCTTTGCGATTCCTCAAAAAATAGTTATGAAACGAAAACTGCAACCACAAACCTCATTCGTGCTCACGTCAAGCCGTCCGCGCGCCAGCACCGCCTCCGCTTCCGCGGATATCATCGTCGATTCGCGCTTCTTGAGAACCACCTTCTTCGGCACCATCGCGGGCACTTCCTTCCGGCTGTGGGCGTCGGAACGGCGCGTCGATTGTTGGGGCTGCTCGGCCGCCGCCGCCGCGTGCTCCATTTCCTCCTCCAGCTCGTTGCCCAGTTCGTTCAACTGAAAAATGAGAGTTCAAGGTGCCGGGGAGCACCAAAAACATTCGCTTTTTATGATTTTGGTAACAATTAGTAGTTCTTGAAAAGGCTAGGAGCTGCGCGCTTTCAGTTTTTCAAATTTCGCTTTGTTTTGCTCGATTTTTGGCATTTTTGGCAAAATTCACATACTTTTTCCGTAAAGGCCAAGGAAACTTGTGGAATTTTTGCGCTGTGCAAGAGCAAGTAATCGGCAAAAAAACCAGCTTTTTGAAAAAATGTGGCCAAGCAAAGCATCGGCAATCCAGGCAGTTTGAGAAATAACGCTAAAAAACTGCAAAAACGCAAAATATGGAAAAACCGCATCTCCACGCAAAAATCTGAACTTTCCAAAAGCCCTTCCAAGCCGAAAATTGACTCAAAAAAATCGATTTTTCTGGAAAATCGTCCGCGCCTCTTCAAAAGCGTAAATCTCCTCTCCGTTTCAAGAGCTGTCGATTTGTCCCGAAACGATCAAAATCGGAAAGTCTATTGGAGGGCAAGGACCAGAAAAAAAGCGCTAAATTACCTTGTTGACCATAAAGCTGCGGTTCTGCCGGGCCGCGTACTTGACCATGGCCTGAACGGTGCGCGAGCTGGCAGCAAAGCGGGCCATCTCGACGGCGCGGGCCTCGCGGTTCATCTTCAGCGCCAGCGCGAACAACTGCATCAGGGCGCGGGTGTGCTCGTTTGAGGCCGACTAAAGAATGCGGAATTCATCGGAAAAGTGATAAATACCGTGGTATCGACTTCAGCTGCGCGCATGAGCACCATCTTCTGTTCGGCGAGCAGCAGCTGGGATTCGAGCCGGCCCTTGTCCGTCTCCACGTCGCACAGCGGCATCTCCCAGGCGGCAGTGTCGGGGATCAGGCGCAGGTCGACGAGCGGGACGCGTGAACCGCGGCAGTAGAGGTACCTAAAAAAATATCTTAAAACTAAGGTATTTCATACCGTATCTCGTGACGCCCGTCCTCGAGCACGCTGAACGGCCAGATGACGTCGAAGCGCGAGAGTAGACGCGCGCCAGCCGTGAAGATCGGCACCCATTGATCGGCGGGGGTGAGCAGGCGGAGGCAACCTAAAAAAAAGATATGGGCATTTTCAACTCAGCCAAAACAAAAAGCGGAACACCAAAAATGTCGACATTCAAAATACCGACGACGGAAGTGCAAAAGTAGCAAAAAAGCGTTGCTTTTCGGCATTATGGCCTTCGGCTTTGACTGTCGACATTTTTGCTTCCGGGCTGCAAACTTACCATAATAGTCCATCACGACGAGATTTCCGCCATTCGTGAAGCCCAGCCACGCCAGCTTGCCGCCGATTTTGCCAACAGCGACGTCGACCGTCCGTGCAGCTCGACTCTCCGTGCACCAGCTTCGAGGTGTCGCCGCGTAGATGGTAGCTGTGTACTAGACATTTTTAGATTGACAAAAATTCACCAAAAACACACCTGAAAACTGGCAACCGGCTCGTCGTCATCGTCATTGTCGAACCACTGGGGGCCGCCGGTGAAAGAGGCAATGGCCAACGAGTTTCCGTAGGCGCACGCCGACGCCATGGAGCCTGAATTTCCGGTTTTTAGGTTTTTAAAAGCCGAGCTACCTGGATGAGACCAAATCTGGCGCTGCGTGCCGTCCAGCGAGAAGGTGCGAATACAGTCTGGGAGGTGAGGACGAAGATGAGCTGCGACGTGGCCAGGACGTCAACCTGAAAATGGGGAAAATCAAGCGACGGGATTAGAAAAACTTACAGCTTCCTCGCCGAACGGCAATCGCACCGTCCACGTGATCTTTTCCCGAACCCAAGTGCCGACGCGATGCACGTAGATTTCCCTAAAAACGCAAAAATGCAATTCCAAATTTTAGATTACCTTTGAGCCTCTTTGCGCGCCTTGCAAGCCAGCACGATCGCTTCCGGCGAAAGGTCGGCCATCGTGTACCGCATGTCCTCGTTGGAGGCGACTATCTCGGTGGAGATGGCCGAATCGTGGCAGGCAACCCGGAAGAAATTTTGATAACCCCAGAACTTCCGCACAAATCAATACTGTTTCCAAGGTTTGAAAATCGCAAATGAAATATAGCTATATTTCAAGCCAGGGCAACTATTTTAAACCCAAAATGTCTAAAATGCGCCATTTTGATCGAAAAATCACCAAAAACTCCGTTTTTATGCTTAGAAATAGTAAAAAACCAATTAGGAACTATTCTGTCTTATGAAAATTCGACCTTAGAAAAAGAAATGCGACTTTTGCTTGAGTTTTTTGCGTAATTCTATCAATACTTTGAAAAGCTGCATTATGCAATCACGGCCTCTTAGCGTTTCTCATAAAATTAGGAGCCAAAAGCTCCAACGGCAGCCCTTTCTATCGACCAAACCGGACCTCGATCCTACAGCTCGCCTCGTCATCCAGATATCGCACAACGCCATGCTGATTCCACCTCTAAAAACAGCGTCAAAGGTGCCAGAATGAAATTACCAAGTAGCGCCGCTTGTGCCGTAGCCCGTCGACCGTCTTCTCCGGCACGGCGCCGGAAGCAAAGTATTTTGGCAGAGCGGGAGGCCGGAATTGGATGACGGGCGGCTGGGCCGGAGCCTAAAAACGCAGTTTCCCAAAAATTCGGCAAATCCTTGCCTGAATGGTCCTCGGGCGCGGCGAAACGGGCTTGAAGGCGTCGTCGTCGTCCCGGAAGTCGATCTCCTCCTCGAGGTTGTCGTGCTGGGTGTAGCGGCGCTTGATCGCCCCAATGTCCACGGACACTAAAAAGCTCAGGAAATCAGAAAATTGACACTTTGTACTTACTTCTTGAGTTCTCGTCATTTTCGCCGACATTCGACTCGCTGCCCTGCGGCTCGGCGGCGTCGTCGTCGGAATCTTGAACAACGCGTCTCTTCTGGATGACGCCATCTAAATCGGGTTCTTATACAGAGTGTATCAGAACGAGTGAAAATTTTGGTACTATCGCATTATCGTGGGGAAGGGGGGAGGGGAAAGTTTTTCCTCGGGAATTTTGTATATTTCTACAACACTTACGAGATCAAATATATCGATTTTTCGTCAAAAAATACCCGATTTCAACCAGAACGTAATTTCAGCATTTTTCGAGGTTTTCTAAAACCCGTTACGACTTCAAATAAAGCTGAATTTCGTCGAAAAAAGTATCACAAGGCTTTATACTCAATTTTTACGTAGAAATGCACTTCTAGCGCAAAATTCGTCGTTCCCCCGATAATGCGAAAGCACCAAACTTTTCGTACTCAAAATTTACCATTAGAAAAATCGTCATCTTCCATTGCCTCGTCGATGATCAAATGTTTGGAGGGCTTGTTCTTGACTTGAGCATCTTTGTCGACTGCGCCGTACCAAAGCGAGACGCCTTGCTAAAAATACAAACTTTATTCGCATTTCCTGATCTTCTTACCTTGATATCGGCGATGCAGAGATCCTTGCCGTTGTGCAAAAAGGCGAGCGCGCAGACGGCCGTCATCTTGTTGTTGTTTCGGTAGTCGTGCGTCGAGATGAGTTTTCTAAAACGCAAATTTTTTACGAAAATCCGAGTTCCATACCCGGAAGACGTGTGCCAGACGCAAATCGTCCCAAACAGCGTCGGAGCCGCCAAATAGGCCCCATCTTCGCGCTGAGGGCGAGCGCCGAGAATTCCTCCTAAACGAGCAAGTTTTCAAAGGGCATAAAATCTAAACCTCAAAATCTTTGCTCTTGTTGAAGCGGGTTCGCTGGCATTCCCAGTTGGAGACATCGGCGACCCGGATGCCGTCCCAGGCCGGCATGTAGAGGTGCTACCATCCAGTGACCATTTCAGCTGCGCCCGGTTTTTGTGAGGGCTAAAATAAAAGTTAAATAATTTCGTAACGCGCACAAACTTTTTCTGAAAAAAGCTCGAAATCACTCACTCCAATATCATGAAACGACTTGAAGAGCTTTTCAAACACGGCCAGACGTTCGGTGCCCGACGTCGGGTAGACTTCGACGCTGCCATCGGTGAACGATATGGCGATGTACTAAAAATAGAAGTTTATTCGGTTAAATTTACTGAAATTTACCTTCTCCATCGGGTCGATGGCGAGCGAAAGGGGCTGGTTGCCGAACTCGATCTTCTCGTAGGATGCTGCCTGATCGAGCGGCGCCTTCTTCGTCGTGCAATCCGCTAAAGGAGGTAAAATTTCGTCTACAACCGATTTATCAGCTTTCAATCGCCCGCGTGTGCGTCTTCAGAGACGTCAATGGCGTTCATTCCATAGGAGACCCAGAAGAGGGCTTTGCTGCTCGCCGTCCCAGCGGGACTTTGCTCTCCGGCGATTCTGGAAAGCAATAAATCGAGGAATAGGAAAAAAAGCGAACCTTACAACACATCGCTTGTCGATTCCTGTGTTCTGATCGCAGACCGTCAGCCCGATGTAGAGCGCGTCGTCCTTCCAGCAGAGGCAGG